TTGTTCCGATCAAGCTCATTCACCTTGCTGGAAGGGTCATCACTGGCGCTTTAACAAGATCTCCATGCACTCTACACTTCCGCAAGCAGCCGCAGTGTGAAAAGGAGTAGAAAGTGTTGCAGCCTGGACAGTGTCATCAGCGCCATAATCTAAAAGAGCTTCACAACATTCAACATAATTATTTGTAACAGCTTCATGAAGCGGTGTTCGTCCCTGAAAGTTAGGCATATTGACATTTCCTGATAGTTGCTCAACCGTATACGCCAACATAGTTGTATTTTTGCCCAGTGACAAGTGCACAAGAGTGTTTCCAGATTCATCAATGCATTTGGAGACATTTTCTTTGATACTTAAGAAGTCCCTTCGTAGACGCACTAATGTATCCATGTCGCCTCGTACCACGGCCTCTCGAACAGTATCCAAAAGATCTTTGGGTCCCTGCGGGCCGCCAATGGGATTTACCGCGTTCATTCGTCTGCTAAAATTATTATCAGGTTTTTAAAAGTAGAGAAACGAAAAAAAAAAAAGGAGTTTTTTTTTTTTTTTTTGGTTCACTTATATATATATATATATATATGCTGACATAAACAAAGCAAATCATTGGTTCATTATTATTATATTTCCTGAAGGAAGATGTTTACTCGAGAATTACACCACACTCAGATAACCACTCTTTAGTTACAATGGTTAATCCCAACATCATCGTTACGGGATCCTTCGTTTCGGAGCGCACGGATCTTTGTAAAAAGGCAAACGTGACGTACTCAGGAGGAGGAAATGTTCGCGCTATAGAACTTGATGGATGAATATAGGATATCATTGAGCGACCCAAGAGGATGTACGGTGCTTTCGTTGCCTTCTTATCCTTGTACTCTACTCCATGGCCTCGACACTCTTGAATAGTGGCCCGTCGGGCAACTTGATCCTTAAGGCCATAAATAAATAATTTTCTTAAGAGTAATTCCTGCTCCTTTGAGATTGTAGGCAAAAAAATATTGCTGATGTGGGGTCCAGAGTCCATTGCTCCGACATCGTTAGCATCAATTGTATCATCGACTTGTTCTACAACCGCATCCTGCCTCGCTAATGCATGTAGCTGCTGTTTCAGCTGCCGGGCCTCGGAAAGACTTTTTTGCACCAGACAGTACCGATAACAATTCCCTGAAGAAGAATCGTTCAAATATACTCCAAAGGCATTTAAAGAAGTAATCAAGTCACTCCCAGGATTTAGCAAAGAAGAAATGAAGGGCCGACGTTCATCATCGGGTTTTTTTAAATCCCTTGCCTTCCATTTTAAACCATTTCCATCACTAGTAAATACATTGGTAGTAGTTGAGTAAACAGCTGCTATAGCAACTACCATGTTAAGAATACAATCAGGAAGTTTCCGATCCAAGGCCTCCAGAATTATCCGTGAAAAACGAGGGGGAATTGGATAGGCTATCAGTCGTTTACCCAAAGTGGTGATACGGCGTTCAATTTGAGAGTCCAAAGCGCCAATAAGCGTCAAATGCGTTAAAGCCCGCTTCAATTCGTCTTCATTTGGAGGAGAGGGAAATGGAAATGATCCAACGTTATCAATACCTAAGTATTTCATCAATAGTACCACTGATTCTAATGATGTTCTGAGAATTTCGGGTAAGCCATGTTTTGGCATTAAGTTGGAATATGCGGCCGTACTATACAAACGGTAACAATGTCCAGGTCCCACACGTCCAGCACGGCCAGCACGTTGTTCTGCAGATGCCTGACTTGTCCACCCAATACGAAAGC